ATGTATTGACTCTCACAATTAAATGGAAACTTGAGAGTGGTATTAATGAGATAATCAATTCCCCAAGCAGTAGCATACCACAATCCAACCATCACTCCTCTCATGTGTACTGGAGACTGAGCTACTGTAAACTCCAGTGATACTGGATACACAAGAATAAAAGAGAGACTTTGGATAGTTTGTGGAATAAAGAGTAGTTTACCAAAGTTGTTTATGTCAGGATGAGACCCCTCAATGACAAATATGATCACTTTAGAAACTGTAGCAATGAAAGCAAGGAAGATACCAACACTCATTTTAGTCAGCATACTGGGAATATACTTGTAGAAACAAACTCTGATAAAGAATAAATACAGTAAAGTCAGAATTACTGAGCAGAAATAATACTGAGAATCTGTTACGGCTAAGCAAGTTGGTAATCTAAAACTTTCAACAGCAGACCAATAGGTATCGTCACTCAGAATAATTGCAATGAAACCAATAAATAATGGGAGCATACGAAATACTGTCTTCACATCTTCTACCTCTTCCTCTGTGAATGGCCCACCATATTTATCCTTACCCAGGTCTAGTCTTGAAGGAGCCTCTTCCTCCCAGTAGGTCAGAGCACTACGATTCTCAGGAAACTTGTGCTTCCTGGCATAACACAATACTCTAACTATCAGTTTGATGGGATTCTTGATCAGTGATATGTTCTCCAGTTTGTCTTTAAAGAATGAATGAGACACCAGTACAAGAGATACAGATACACCTGATGCTATGAAAGTGATTATGATAAAATACGTAATTTTATAAAATAAGCATTGAAGAAGGTAAAATATTAAAGCCACAAGTGGTTCAGATAGTATATGCCAGTATATGACAGAATTGAGTTCATCAGCTGAAGCTCCAACAAGTTGATCAATATTATACTGAATAATGTTAGCAGTGAAACTACAGAAACCACTGAACTGAAAGAAATAAGCAAACCCATAGACACTGTATAATATTGCTTCAGAGTCAAAGTAATTGTCTACAACAAATCCAATTCCTATTATAATCCATGATATAAAACACAATATTATACCAATCAGTATAGCTTTGTATCTCCCAATCCATACATCAGCTAGCAGACCAAGGAATGGAAAAGAAAGCCAACCTAAGCATGTCAAAATAACAAAGCCATACCTATACCAGGCGTTAGGAACAATTTCATCTGAAGATCCACCAATAAAACGACTTATTAAGAAATACTGGGCATACATGAGGTAGTTCCATAATAGAACCAAGACTGCTGAAGGAGAAATACAAATGAAAGGTTGCCATTTCTTTGCCAAATAGGAAGTAACCATAGCTGAGGCTTTAATACTACAGAATAAAGAATTCATGTAGAGTTCAGACTGAAAAAGCAAAGCATGGTGAGTTTGAATTACGGGTATCTAATGAATGCACTGTTATGACAACAACACACAAAAAGAAAGTGAAACAGTAACACTTTTATAAATAAACACATCATTATAAAAGGCTAAACAATATCAACAATTACTGTATTCTTAAGAGATCAGTTGAATCTGAGGGTTATAACTTATAAATATTCTAGAAATGGATAATATATTGTCTGCACAGATGAAGGAGAAAGTCAAAAGAGAATATTTGAGGAGAGTAAGAGCTGTATTGGAATCCAGGTAACATGGAAGAAATAAAATTGTGGGGATTAACACTTGGGCTATCGCTTTGTTAAGATATGGTGGGGGAATATTGGACTGGAAAAAAGAGGAGTTACAAAGTTTAGATAGGAAAACGAGGAAGTTGATGACAATTCATGGTGCTTTTCATCCAAAGAGTGATGTTGATCGGCTATACTTATCAAGAAAGAGGGAAGGAAGGGGTTTGTTAGGATGTGAGAGAAGTATAAAAGCTGAAGAAAATAGTCTTGGTTGGTATGTTAAGAAATCAGTGGAACCGTTATTGAAAGCAGTTGGAAGAAGTAAGATCTTAGATGTAGAGGGTAGTAGGCCAAAGGAAAGTTATAAACAACTTGAGATGGTAGCAACTGAAGAAAGATGGATAGGAAAAAGAATGTATGGACAGTATTACGGGGAGATGAGTGAAGGAGCAGATATACACATGACATGGACGTGGTTACAAAAGAGTGATATAAAACCAGAGACAGAGGCTCTTATTTGTGCTGCACAAGAACAGGCATTGAGGACTAACTATATTAAATGTAAGATTGATGGTTCCATTGAGTCACCATTGTGTCGTTTATGCAGAGAGAAGGGTGAGAGTGTATACCACATTGTAAGTGAATGTAAAGTACTGGCTCAAAGAGAATACAAAAGGAGACATGACAAGATAGCTCAGTTCATCCATTGGGAGCTATGTGGGAAGTTTGGTATGGAAAGAGGGAGGAATTGGTATGATCACAAGCCTGAGGGGATAACCGAAACAGTTGAAGTTAAGATTTTATGGGACTTTATGATTCAGTGTGACAGAATGGTTGAACATCGCAAGCCAGATATTGTAGTTGTTATGAAAAGGGAGAAGAGGTGTATGATTATAGATGTGGCAGTTCCAGGTGATACTCGAGTTGAAGGAAA